TCATAGTTGCAGAAATCATTGAATGAAGGAATGGATGGATGGGTAGATGAGTGAATAGGAACGCAGCTTCATGAGGGAAGCGAAGTTAGAACACGCAGTCCGGCTTCCCACCCCCACCTGGCCCTCTCCAATCTGCAGCTACTGGCCTGGGATGACAGCAGCCCTGGGGGTGGGCACCCTGGGAGTGTTTGCACTAATGATCACTTCCACACATGGCCAGACAGAGATGGAGAGCAGGGGGTATGCAGGAGTAGGGAGCTTTCTAGAGAACTTTCTAGATGCTAACCCCACCCCACCCCCCAGCAACCCAGGCCTCAGGCGGCCCTGTCCATGGTCCTGGAACCCAATGTGGGAAGAAGGAGCCACTATTTGTTGCTTTTAGGATGGAGCTGGGCTTTCCCAGACCCTGTGACCAAGCCAGGGAGCCCTGGTGGCTGCTAACCAAGAGGCTGGAGGTTTGAGCCTACCGAGAGGCACCTCAGAGTAAAGGCCTGGTGGTCTGCTTCTGAAAAATCAGCCATAGAAAACCCTATGGCAACTGTTTCTGTTTTTGTTTTTTTTTTAAATGACCCAGCCGAGGTTGAGCCAGTCCCAGGGGTTCCTAGCGTGAGGCCCCAGTGCCTGGCAGCAGAGCCAGCTGAGCAGCCAGCAGGGCCTTCTCCACACATGGGCGAGTGAGCACAGTGTCTCCTCGCCAGGTGCTGCCCCACCTGCCCCCACCAGGCAGCAGCCCTGCCCAGCAGATGCTGAGCTGCCTCTCAGGGCTGTACCCATTTGAGCATCCGTCCATGTGCCAGACGCCAGCCTCTTCCTCAGCTGTCCTTCTTCACTGGGCCCGATGGGTGCCATCTGCCACCTCCGCTCCTGCCCACCCACTGCCCCGGATGGCTGCCCTCAGAACCAGACACCCCAACACTGAGCACAGGCAATGGCCCACCTCAGTCCTGGTTGAGTCCTTGGGCTGGGCCATGTTGCGGCAGAGGTGGGGAACAGAGGGGTCAGGCTGAGCTGGAATTTGGCCCCCAGACGCCACCTGGATCATTGTTTCCTGGAGTGTCTGCTGGACACCTGGAGGCAGGTGGGCAGGAACACAGCTGTCTAGGTGCGGCAGGTGCTGCTGTGTGGCTGTGGGTGTACAGAGCACCCAGGCACATGTATCTTATGTCTGTATTGTCACATGGACAGAAAAAACCCATTGCCATCAAGTGGATTCCAACTCATAGTGACCCTGTAGGACAGAGCAGAACTGCCCCATAGGGTTTCCAAGGAGCGGCTGGTAGATTCAAACTGCCAACCTTTTGGTTAGCAGCCGAGCTTTTAACCACTGCACCACCAGGGCTCCATGTGAAGTCGGAGGCAGATATTACGGTGATATCCAGAAGCCGAGGAATGCCAGCAGCTATCAGAAGCTGGAAGAGACAAGGATGGATCTGCCCCCAGAGCCTCTGGAGGGAGCATGGCCCTGTAGACCGACACCTTGACCTCCAGAATTGTGAGAGAGTGCATTCCTGTTGTCTCAAGTCATCCAGTTTGTGTTAGTTTGTTACAGCAGCCCCAGGAAACTCATACTCACAGGAGACCCAGCTCAGTGGTTTCATCTTGAACTACTTGATCAAGCTTTGCCAGTTACATGAGCCAATAAACAACCTCCCGCTTTTGAGTCACTGAAAGAAGTTTGAGTTGGGGTCTTGGCCCTCTGTGTGCCTGGGTGGAGGCAGCTTCCTCCCCAGAGGCTGGCACCTTGTTCTGATGGTCCACCATCATGTAGCGGCTTTGTGCAGGTCACATCCAGTGGAGCATCTCCTTTTACAACTCACGCAGAGGTACTTGTGAGCCCATGAGGGCCTGAGGTGGGACACCCAGGCATAGGGCATATACACCCTTCCATGCCCGCCCAGCTGAGAAGGGGCCACAGCCACCCCAACAACGACCAGGCAAGGCTTGCTCTCACCAGGACAGCCGGCCCTGGTTGGCCCCAGACACCAGGCAGGGGAGTCCTCATCCAGATGGGACAAATACAGATGTGCAGTATTTGTGGTTGTCAATCACTGAGGGTCTGGGGATTTTTGTTACAGAGCATGATCACAGCAAGAGCTGACTGATACACCTGCGCATCCCTTGGCTGGGGAGGATGGGCACTTGATGAGCTGTCCCACTGACCATATCCACAGAAACAAACCTCAGTATCCAAAATAGACTGAGGTGCTGTCCCGATGCTGGGAATGTCAAAAGCTTCTGTGTCACTGGAGGAGCCAACAGCTGGCTCACAGATGAGGCACTGGAGCTTGCTTGCTAGAGGTAGAGCGAGCTTCCCAGCTCTCACCCTACAAGCAAAAAGCATATTTGGACCCCCAAAAAGCAGGTGGCTCAGCTGACCTAACTAGGCATGATCTGGATCTGCTGGAGCACATGGAATTGTGAAGACAATTTCATGTCACTTAGCTTTGCTCAGAGCCTACAGAAGAGCTGGGAAGGAGTCTCTAAAGCAAGTCCAAACAGCTAAGAGAGATGAGGCTGATGTACCATCCTAGAAGCGTCTAATTACTCTTAATGCTGCTCAGAGTCTGCTGGGGGGACATGCTCTGCCGAGGATGTGGCAGTGGCAGGTGATGCAGTGGCAGCTGATGAGCCAGCACTTCTGGGCAGGCTGGGGTGGGCGGTAGGGGGAGCCGTGCAGGAGGTGTCTCTGCCAGCAGGGCCTGTGCACGTGGAGGAGGGCTCCCATTCCCCACCCCCAGGCTCACAGGGGCCCAGAGAAGGATGGATCCGAAGGGGTGTGATGCAGCTGCAGGAGGGACCCTGGCTGGTGGGGGGCTGGGTGCCAAGCCCCAGGGGGCTGGGAGGAGCTATTGGGAACTCCTTGGCCTGTGGTGTGAGGAGAGAGGACACAGCCATGTGCATAAAGGGCCTGTGGCTGCTGGTGGGCGGAGGTGGGCAGTGAGCTCTCAGGAACTCTGGTGGTGGGAGCAGGACCCGGGCTGGCTTCACGCTAACCCTAACCATGGACACTCACCTGGAACCTTACCCTGGGCTGGGCACTGTTTCAGCACCGAAACAGTGGTGCAATGTGGGGCCAGCAGCCAGGTGGGGGCTAGTTAGAAATGCAAATTCTTGGGCCAACTCAGACCCAGTGAATCAGAAACTCTAGGGGTGGGCCCGGCATCCCCCCTCCCACCATGGTTTTGGTGTCCATGAATGCCTGAGAACCACTGACTTCAATATATTCACTCATTTCATACTCAAAACATCCACGAGTAAGCATTATGATCGTCACGGTGCCCATTTTATAGATGGGAGAACTGAGGCACAGAGACAGTAGCGCAAAGTCTCGTCGTAAGTGGTAGAGCTGAGATAGGGACCCAGGCAGTCTGGTTTTTGAACTTCCCCATCTGATACGGTGGCCAAATGTGGCTCTTTAACTCTAGATTAAAAGTGATAAATAAAACGTAAAATTCCGTTCTTCTGTTGCACTAGCCCCATCTCCAGTGCTCAAGAACTGCATGTGGCTGTGGCCAGATGCTCAGCTTTCCATCAGTTCACCACGGTGGTGCCCACCATGGCCTTCCGCAAAAGCACCCTCGTGCAGCCCAGGTACAAAATGGCAAAGTTGAATGCACAAAAGCACAGCTGCTCAGTGCTGAAGCAGAGGGGCGAGTCACAGGGCTCCTGCAAACTTGGGGAGTGCGTCCAGAGGCCCAGGTGCATTGTTATGTAATTGCTCTTTTCAAATGTGTGTTGTCTGACACAAGAATGGGCATGGACCAGAGGCAGCACACACATATTCTTGGGACCACCCTCAGCCCAGCCTCCCCTTTGCAGGTGTCTCCATCAACCCACACATCAGTTCAGATGTCCAGTTCAGATGGCACACTCTCCCTAGGAAGGGCCAGGCCACCTGGGAAGGAATAGGAGAAAGGGAATGGAGCATGGGACCAGAGAAAGCAGCTGGTCTCCTCCCTGAGAGCTACGGAACCCCCAGGGAAACCTGAGGATGCCTAAGGGCCTCCCTGACTGGGCCCTCACCAGACATGTGCATCCTTCAAGACCCGATGAGCAAAGAAACATCCATGTTTAAAACTAAATAATTTAAAGAACTAGGACCCCAGCCCTTTCCAAGTGACTGTTGGGGCGGGGTGACAGAACAGGGTCCACGGGGGGGGGGGTCTCACTGGTATGCCAGCTGGGGGTGGGCTACAGGACCGGTCAGAAGGGTCTGGGGCCCTGTGTCCCAGTAAGATTTAGGACACTGTGGGTGTTGTTTCCACATATTTTCCGGGCCTCTCCTCGTCCTCACGGGAGAATCAGCAGAGAAGAACACACGGAGAACCCATTCTGGGCTTGTTTTTCTGTCTTCCAAAGAGGCTTTTAAAGATCAAAAGAGAGTGTGCGGGTGGTGGAGAAAGACTGCTCATAACAAAACCCGCAACGGGCAGGGGGAGGGGGCCTAAGGGAAAGGGGAGAGGGGGCAAGGCCTGAGTGGACAAGAGGCGGAGCAGCTTGGAGCGTAAGCCGGAAGTGCACCGCATCACCCTCCAATGACCGGAAGTTTCAGAGCCACCCTCCCAGTGGCCCCAGGACAGCACCTGCCCACAGCCTGGGACGCCTAGACCACACCCTCCCTGCCGGCACACACAGGGTTCTGGGCCTGCCTGGGGGGCTGGGCAATGGGCCCCTCCTCCGACTAGTGTTTCCCAGGGTGTCAGGGGCCTGAGGCGCCCGGGGAGCACTTTCCCATCAAGCACCCAGGCCGGTCACCGAACCTGGCTACCTCCCAGAACTGCTCCACAGGCTCCCGTCAGCAGCCACACTCGCCTTCTCCTTGGGGCAGGCCACACTCCTCCCGGCCTCAGGGCCTTCGCACAGCCGAGCCCCACTTCTCTGCACGGCCTGGCTCCTTCTCTTCTTGTAGGGCTCAGCTCAGATGACCACTGTAGGAGGCCTTCCCTCTGCCGGCTGCCTAAGACGCTCCCTACTCAACTTTCCTCACGCTCTCATTCGGTATGGCTTTCTTTAGCTATGTGCTACAGTGCCTGGACATCGAGGGCGTTCGGTAGATATGTATTGACTGAATTAATGACCTAAGAGTTTGGGGAGGGCAGACCCCTCATTCCCAGGCCGGGCTTCCCGTAGGCAGCCTGGCTGGATCCACACTCTCTTCCTCCTGCACCCTTGGGTGGGCTCCGGGACGGCGAGGGCGCCCAATCCAGGCCCCAGCCGCCAGCTCCGGTGAAGTTGATGATGACCTGCCCTCAAGCCCCGGGTTAGCCGGAGGAGACCCCGCTAGCTGCTCGCGTGCTCCCATTTAGAGACTTCCGGAAGGCGGCGGTGACCCAGGCAGGCACACAGGCGTCTCCGCGCCCCAGGACAGGGAGGTGTCCCACAGGTGCACGGAGAGGGGCTGATGGGCATGGTCTCCCAGCTTCCTCCCCCGAGGGGGCGGTGCCGAGAACTGCCACTAGCGGAAGGCAGAACCGGGTGGTGACTTCCCCCGGGGCGGGGTGCCGCGGCAGGGGCGGGGCCTGGGGCGGGGGCGGGGCTCGGG